TTATTTTCACTAATTTATGCAATTAAAACTTCTTCACACTTCAGTAGTAGACTCAGTACTGTATCCACATGCCATGTCATTCAAGGATACTTAATTTATTAACCTTGCAATTTTTCTCCTAATATTTTATTTTATTTTTTTTCTTCTTTTAGAGTTTCAAACAATGTACATATTAAAACATAAGTTTTAACATTATCATAAAACAAACAACTTAGTTAAAATTAAATTGGAACTGAAATTGGGTTATTGGGCTGCAGGACCAGGATGTTCATCAATAGGATATGGAGCATCTGAGGAGATTGGACCATTCAGAATCAACAAAACTGCTTCTTCTCTCTATCTCAACAAATACTCTTGGAACAAAGGTAAAAATAAAAAAAAAAATCATTTTTTTTATAATCGGGGAATCAGAGGTGTGGTCCCACACAGTGAAACGCACCATAAGAGGGTGAGCCTAGGTACACCCTAGTGAATTGGTGATGGAAGGTGTACGTAGTTCACTAGGCGCATAAACTAGCTTCATTTACTCTATCAAATCAATGTGGGACGACTCACAAGTGATATTCCAACAAAATTACCTAATTAAACAAGTAAAAATGTCACAAGGTAAAATTGTTCATAAAGATCCAATCTGCCAATATAATAGAATAAAAAATGGAAAGACTAAAAAATATATTCATGGATATTACACAGTCATACAAGTATTGTGCATTTTGAGTGGTTTTTTTTTTTTTTNNNNTTTTTTTTTAGTGGCAAATATCCTGTTTCTTGAGTCACCAGCTGGTGTTGGTTTCTCTTACACAAACACAAGCTCTAATCTTAAGGATTCTGGGGACAAAAGGACAGGTAATACATTTCAATAAGGAAATTAACACACAAAGCTTGTATATAAATTCTCTTTTCATGTCCACACACAAAATTTCATTGCGAAGAAAGCGAAACGTGTTCGTAAACAAACTAACGAAACTGCTGCATTTTTCTTTTTGCTCGGCACAGCTCAGGACGCGCTGATTTTCTTGATAAGATGGATGGATAGATTTCCACAATACAAATACAGAGGCTTCTATATCTCAGGGGAGAGTTATGCAGGTCAACTATACGTAATGACAACAACATATTGCTAAATGAAAAAATAAACAAAAAAAAAATGCATTCTTAAAGAAAGAAAGAAAAATAAATCTTGGACTATGAACTACCGAATCATCTAAACACATGAAACGTCGTGCTTCAAACAGGTCATTACGTTCCACAACTAGCACGGGCAATACACGACTACAACGAGAAATCCTCCAAACCAATCATCAATCTCAAAGGATTCATCGTAAGCACATTAAAATGCTTCGAAAATGAAAAAGAAAAAGAAACGATATTATAATAATAAGACAAAAATAAAAAAAAATGTGTGAAAATTACGCAGGTTGGGAATGCGGTGACAGACAATTACTACGACAACATTGGGACAGTAACATACTGGTGGAGCCACGCCATGATATCGGACAAAACGTACAAATCGATTTTGAAATCGTGCGATTTCAAATCGCAAAACACGTCCGAGAAATGCGATAATGCGGTGAGTTACGCGATGAACCATGAATTCGGGGACATTGATCAATACAGCATTTATACACCCACATGCAAGGCCGCTGCAAACTCACAAAAGAAGCCAAAGTACTCCCTAAGGCTTAAGAACAGCTTAATCAGTCAACGGTTTTCTGGGTACGACCCTTGTACCGAAAACTATGCCGAGAAATACTACAACAGGATGGATGTGCAGAAGGCCCTGCATGCAAATTCTACAGGGATCCCTTACAAATGGACAGCTTGCAAGTATGTATTTGCATTTAATTTGGATTGTTTGAATGGAATTCCCTTCAAAATATCTTCTGCTTGTTTCACGAATTTACCTCTCAACATAGTGTAACTTGTGATACAGAAAAATATTTAACTTCAAAAGTAGAGAGAAACACTCTGAGGAGAATTTGAGTTTGAATTTTGGTTTCCGATTTTAGGCTTATAAATGATAGACACTAAGAAAGTTTAGTTTGTAGTATCTTGGCTCATACTGTGTTCGTGTAATTACTTTGTTAATCTAATAAAGTAATTACGTTAGTGTACACGTATTGCGAGTGTACCCAACCCAACATAGTTGGTGTGGGTTTCTAACATCCAAATTTAAGAATTTGGAAAAAGGGATTACAACTGAATGAGCATTAACCTATCTACACTGCAGTGAAGTACTTTTACGGAACTGGAAGGACAGTGAGATATCAATGCTGCCGACCTACAGAAAATTGATAGCTGCAGGGCTTAGAATATGGATGTTCAGGTAAAAATGTTGGTACCAATCCCCTCCACATAACCCTGTAAGAACAAAACTTTGATTTTCGGTTATTTGCAATGCAGTGGGGACACAGACTCGGTTGTTCCGGTAACTGCAACCAGGTTTGCTCTAAGTCATCTCAATCTCAAGATCAAAACTCCCTGGTATCCTTGGTATTCTCATGGCCAGGTAAAAATAGTTACACACACACATATATATATAATGAGTGGTAGCTCAATATAACCATAATATATACACTATAGGTTGGAGGAAGAACTGAGATATACGAAGGATTAACATTTGCGACAGTGAGAGGAGCAGGACATGAGGTTCCTCTATTCGAGCCGAGGAGAGGTTTCGAGCTTTTCCAGGCATTCTTGTCAGGGAAGAGCTTGCCAAAATCTTGAATATTTTTTAGACAATAAATCAAAACCAACAAAAAGACGTTGGGAAAACCTCCTCAACATTCATAGCCCATTTATCAATGATTTTATAACAATATAATATAAGCTAGATCATCAAGTATTAAAATAGGATAACTCAATCCCAATTGTATTTATGTTACTTTTTTTTTCTTTTTTAATAATTGTATGTCAAGCTATATTGTAATTCGTGTAATGCAAATGTTTTATCATCTTACTTGTTCCTCAAAGTAACTGTGTATTAAAAAATGTGGTTTGTTTTAACTAAACACTTGTGTGGTGTTTCAAATTATTGAGATGTGATTGCTTCATTACTTTTAAGAGCCTGACTAACCAAATTTTTACTCCTTTACAAAGTTTTGGGAGATGTTTTTTTTTTTAAAGTTTAATATTTTCTATTTGTTGCTAGATATTTCTTTATTGTCTGGAAAAATATCCTACCAATCACAAACGCGGATTACTTTGGATATGAGGAATCACTTTTCTCTTTGCATTCCTAAATTCCAATTCATTTGTTGTATTCGTCCGCTTCCTCTCATCTCATGTGAGTCGGTGTAATAATCATAATTTATTTAATTTCAAGTTTGTAATCCATTCTCAAAAGAAAATGTATCGACTTTAAAAGGAAATTGTTGTAAGTTGTTGTCTGTCAATGATGAGATGTTATTATAAAATTTTAACACATTAGGGCAGATATCTTTATCCATTAAAAATAGGATAGGAGCGTGTGCATGCTAAAAATTGAGGTACATGGCGGCCCCTTATTGTCGAACTATACATAGACTTGTCAAGACGGGCCTGGACCCAGGGCCCGGCCCGCCCCGCAAAACAGACGGGTTGGGTTGGCATTTTATAGGCCCGCCAAATGGCGGGCCTAAACGGGTTGCCCTGCGCGGGCCGCGGGCTTTGGCGGGGCGGGGCGGGCGGGCCGCGGTGATGAATGGATCGCGGTTCTTATCTATTTGGTGTGAATAATCGCGCACTCAGGGCCTTCGACTAAACACGATAGGTGTGACTTCAAGACGCTCTCAGGGCCTTCTCTCCGACACGGTTGTATGATAAACACGCACTACGGCCTTGCTTAAACACACGATTGAACACAACGTTCCTTTTCTATTCACTCATCCAACCTCTCAAAAACAATGGGGAAA